ATTACTTTATTAATATAAAAAAAAAAAAAAATAAAAACCAAGAATTAGATTCTGTGTTCACATCTTATATCGTGAAAGTAGGATTCCAGTACTAGATCAATATATGCATTTTAGTTGGAAGTTATTAATAAGAATCAATGACATAAAAATCGATTAGATTTTTGAAATATATATTTGAAAACAAATGGAAAATCACTGTAGTTCGACCAAGAAAAAGTTCTTTAATTAGGATCCTGTAAACTTCGTATTGAATGTCTACAATATCAAGTGGGATTATCTTTACGGTTTTTTTTTTTAAAAAAAAAAAAATCTCTTCCTGTAAAACAGTCAGTAAATTTAATTCTATTAAATTTTTTTTTCTTAAAACCTTACGATTCAAGAATGCTATAACATAAGTAGTTTCCGTAATTCAAAATTACTTCGCCAGCTTGGAATTATACTTTTCCTTTTATACTATATTACATAAAATGATTAAATAACTTTATAGTTCTAAATAAAATTTTTTTTTTTTTTAGAGATGCAAAATTAATCAACACTATCTTCATTTATAAAATACTTTAATATTTAATAACATGACATGATGTATATTGAACTGATCGTTTAAATTTGATAAACTCACTTTAGTAGTGCTGAAATGACGTTTTGGACAAAATTATTAAGTAAAGATATGTTTTATTGATATGTTAACGCATTCCCTTATAAACGTGGAAATGGTTATACTGTCTATCGTCTGAACCAAATAGCAAATTTCATTATCTTTATTTTTAACGAATAAAAAAAATTTTAATTTAAATATTTCATAATAATACTCGAGTAAATCGTGTCATCGACACCGCATTTGTATTACCCCAAAATTTTCTCTTTATTGTGTCACCCTTCGCTTACCCCAAAGAATAAAACAATATAAAAAAAAGTCATGTATATGCATATGTATATGCATATTGTGATTCGGAAATGTGCTGCCTGCAATTGAAAAAAATTTATGTACAAGTACGAAAATAAAAATTTACAAATAATAAATCTTGAATGGCGTATTCCTTTTACGTCAATTGCAACAATTGGATCTTTAAAAGAATCTCCGATAATAATTATTCACAATAATGGCATGTACCCGGAAGTTAATCAGAAAAATTTAATCGCAAATTATAAATATCATAGTCATTAAAATAATTACTTTATACGGACGGATAAATGAATTTTGAAATTTTCACAATCACAATAAAACGTTTGTTTTTTCTTCAAACATTGGTATTACAATACATGCATAAGAACTTTTTTTAGTAAATTTCTCGAAATTTTAACGTTTGGCGTAAGAAATCTCATTGAAATAATGATTTTCCTAAATTCTCAACGAAAAAAAAAATAAATGTATATATACTGTATATAGTGATAGAAATTCATGTAAACCTTTCAAATCCTTTCTCAATTTTCTAAATTCTTTAAGTGGTATCGACATTTAAAAATTTTCAGTATGTCAAAATCTGACATTTTTACTAAATCAAATCTGGTTTACATACCGCTGTCAGTAACGACCGCTCACACATTACATTTCATATTTAATTCTCAATTATCAACATGGCAAGAATTTCCCCCAAATTTACCTACCTCAGTATATTCCTCTATATTTTTCACAATATTATTATCGTTTATATCACTTTCATTTGAACCAATTCAAACAAGAAGTCGATTTTATACGTTATTAACTCTCGCCCTTATATATGTTACAATTCCAATAAGTTTTCGCGGAAAATACCCACCTTTGCCTCATAATGTTTTTGTAACTTATGGAGCAATTTTTGGACTAAAAATGTTTTTGTTCTTAAAATCCAATCGAGTATATTTGAATCAAGAAGATTCGAAACAAAAGAAAGAATTTAAATCATTCCTTTGGTCTTTATTTAATTTACGATTTAACTCTTATATAATTCCTCCAAAAAAGGAAAATTCTAATGAAAAAGAAAATACCTTGATTATTACATCACCCACGACTTCACAAATCAACCAAAAGATAATTAATCGATCCATAATTACCTTTGCAAAATGTCTTATTCTTGAACTTGTAATGTACAATGCAATTACATGTACATTGGTGATTCCTGAGAATTCATACCAACTTCGTTTAATTGAATTTTTTATGAAAGGAATCCCCGCGATTACAATGCCCTTAATGTTACAATACTTAAATTTCCTTTTATATGCACATCTATCGTTGTCAGTATATTTATACGATATATACACTATTATTAGTGCAATCTTTTATCGTTTATTCCTTCATTCCTCATCGGAAGAAATTAATTATAAACCTTTTTTAATTAAATCTGGAATTCTCACTTCTTCCGAATATTTCTCCCTAAAAGAATGGATGATCACATACCTTTTCAATACAAAACATTTGTTTAGTGAACCATGGATGGCATCAAGCCCTCGTGACTTTTGGTCTGTTCGTTGGCAATTATTAGCTAATGAATTTTTCAAAGAACTAGGTTTTTTACCTGTTAAGAATGTATTCGCTCCAATTGCCCCTAAGAAAATCGCAAATATGATGGGTGTACTTGGTGCTTTCGGTGTTAGTTCTCTATTACATGAATACCTTATTATTGGAATGCTCGATATTTGGAAAGGTGAACACGCCTTTTTCTTTATGATCCATGGTGTAATATTCATCATGTGGGAAGCTGTTTTTGGTCGTGAAAATAAAAATGAGAATTCAAAAATTAAAAGGTTCTTAAAGTGGTTCTTATTGTTGATTATAAATTTATCGGTTTTGCCAGCATTCATTGAACCTTTTAGACGAAAACCTGATCTTCTTCCTTTACCTTCATTTTGGCAAAATTTTATTAAATAAATTAACAATAATTCTGAGGGATATTAAATGAATTATAAAATTTATTTGTACAATTATATATAAATTATTAAATTTAAATAGAGATATTTGAATATAAATAAAACTTTTGTAAATAAATTCATTTACATTTATTAAATAAGAAATGTTGAATCCCATTTTTAACACTTTTTGCTCTTTATACGTTTTGCCAACTTTATTTTTTTTTTTAAAAAGTTTCGACGAATTTGACCCATTCATATTAAAACATAAAAATTTAAATTAAAAATTTAAACAAATTTAAAGTTTTTCTTAATTTTGTATGTAGGAAGTTAATTATTATCTAACCAACCAACAAATTCAATGTTTGCTTTTTAGAAAGTTCCTGACGTAATATATGCATATGCATATGCTTTTGCTTGTTACTTGAATCTAGATGCTTTATGCATTACGCATATGTTCTGCATATGAAATACAAAGAATTTTTGAAATCTTGATTTCAAAAATGATTCTCCTAGCCCAAATCCGGTTAAATCGAGATTAAAAAGGGATTCTTTTTTTTCAGTTGTTCGGGTTCGATCGTTTCGGGCGCAACAATCGATTAATTTTCGTTGGAATTTGCGCCATTGCTTTTCTTAGGTTTCTTTTATATTTATTTTTATTATTGTTAATGTTATTTTGTTAATTATGGATAGTAACTGATTTTTCTTTTAAATATTTTTTTTTTTAGTCGGATTTCTTTCGACATATTATTTATTAATTATTTATTAATATTTATTTTTATTTATTTTTTAGCGGTTGTATTGCTGCGGGTCAAAACATATGTTGGTTTGTTTTAACTAATCTTTTCTTTTTTTTATCTTTCTCTTTCGGTTGGAATGCTCATCCGATAATTTTTTCATTAAATTAATGATTACTTAATTTGCATAGAAAAGTTTATTATTATTAATGTCATTAATTTTCGTTTTTGATTTTCCTTTTTTTTATATTTTAATTTTTGTTTTTGGATCGGACCATAGATGTTCATTGGACCTAAAATGTCCCAAGATTTTTTTATACTGGCGTTATATTTTACTTTCTATTGATAACGTATTTATAAGCTTATTCGAAGACCGATCCCAACTTAACGATCACGAAATTCGTTTTCCTATTAAAAGTTATTAATAAATTTTGTTATTAGCAATTTATTTTAACATGGGTTTATAAAACTAAAAATTTCTAAATTGTTAAAAAGCATTTGAGACCTAACGCCATTATTCATGATATTATTATCATTTATATTATTAATTGTAAAGCAATGTTCTAATGGCGGGTGGTGATGGTTAAGTTTACGCCGACCGCAGTACCACCCTAGTTAAACTGTAATTATTAATATAGCATATCACTTCACTATCCCTATAGTAATTCCTTGCATCATATGAGCTATTTGTTTCCTATACCTAAATACTTTTTTCTGGTCGTTCAATATTTTCTTTTCGATTGGTAACTTTGTGGATTTAGAAAAAAAAAAAAATTTTTTCGATTAATACAAAAATGATTTTTGACTTTGCCCAAAAATTGGATTAGGGTTTCACCACGCAACTATCAATAATAAAATATTTAAAGCAAAAAAAGAATAAGGATTTACAAAATTGAAGGTTTTAACTCTTCTGTTAACATGTTTTAATTCTCTTAATACATATATACTGAAAATTCATAGTAAGCGATCTAATGATTTTGAGTAATAAAAAAGGCTGATCAATGATTTACTTTAAAGATTATTGGAGAAAGATTCCATAAACCAGACCAAGTCATTTCCTTGCGATAAATCAACGGTTATAACACTTAAACTAAATATTATCCTTGCTTCTTTACGCTTCAACGTACAGTATAACTATAATGCTTGATCACAAAATTTGTTCGCGGATATAATTCCTTGAAATTAACACATAATAGATGTTGAGCCATTAAAGTTCATTCAACGAACAAGATTTTCATGATGGTCGCAACATTTCATTTGTTTGCAACAATTTACTTTTTTGATGTCATATTTTTAACTTATTATTTCACAAATCATATAACTGAGCGTAATTCAAAGATCCACTATTGACCTACTGTTATAAAATCATTATTGGGAAAAAAAATTATGGATTATTAAAAAAATCAAAAAAAAAAAATAATGTTAAATATCCAGTATATATCTCTCAAAAACACCTTATATAATTTACCGAAACGATCCAAGCAGAATGAGAAACCTAAATTGAAGAAAACTAAGAAAAAAAAATAAATCAATCAAATCAAAAAGTGGAAATATATTCGATCGCTACGGTCCGAAAAGATCGAAAATAGTTATAAAAAAAAGAAAGACACCTGATTTCCGAAAGAAAAACCTAAATAAAGAGAAGAGCGCGAATTATTCGATCGCTGCGAACAAAACTGATCTCTCAAAAATAAATGCATAATGTGGCTTTGGCGTTAAAATTTGGATAGCCGTTTCTTTATCATCTGTGAAAAAGCAATTAATAATTAATTCCGTTGTAAATTGTAATTTACCGTTTATTTTATAAAACAAAATTTATAAATTTTTTTGAATTTGAGCATTGTAACGGAGGGTTAATCGGATAAAAAAGCACAATAAGGTAAGATTCGATGAAATATTTTTCTTTTCCAATTTTTTTAAAAATACATGAGTCTAACAAAAAATCAAAATTTAACTGATTTAATAATGTGTTAATATGTAACTGACTATGTGATTTTTATACCATTTGATATATATCAATATTCTCTCGCCAAAGAATTAACTCCTACCCAAAAGGGAGGTATTATTGTAGTCAAAATAATTACCCTGCTTGATCAATAACCAAAAAAGGCAAAGATTGAAGGCCGCGGTTCTCAAAAAAAAAAAGGAACTAAGACGAAAAAATCTAGCAGAAATTCCTAATATATTTTCTGCTGAAATCAATAAGCCAGCCAATTTTTACAAGAATAATTCATTACGCAATTCACAAGGAAAATGTTCATTCTTGTATTCCTTGAAAGGAACCTTTAATTTCAGCAGTCAACAAATCCAAAAGATATTGGACAGTGAAAGACTGGATAAACATAATCTGTCAGATGAGTCCACATTTTTACAGTTTCAAAAATCTGAATAGGGAAGAGTGTGAAGAAAATCAGAAGAAACATTTCATGAAAATTACATTGCATCAACAATAAAAAATTCTCTCCAAAAAATGTTTTAGGCATGTTTTTCCTTTTTAAAATTAGGTTCATTATTCCACTTGAAGGTTCAGTAACTGGAAATGTATACAAAGAAGTTTGTATCACTTATGCAGTTTTCATACTTAAAGCATTTCCAGTGTTATACTTGGATTATACTGAAACTAAGCTAAATAATCAATTATCTTAAAAGCCCTTTTTAAGAGAAATAAATGATTAACAAATAAAACAATTTATAATATAATTTACTGGTATAGTAAGTTATCACGATCAGAAGACAAAAAGAAAGTTAAAAATGTAAAATAGATTTTTTATTAATCTGTAAAGTTATAAATCTAATTCTAAGTAACATTCTATAAGGATTAAATCAGATCAGATTTGAAGTATATTTAAACTTGAATCTGTTAATAATTACAGAACCTGAATTTAACTCAACTTGATCATTATTCAATCCAATTAATGTTCAACTTAAGATAATTCAGAATTGACTCAAATTTTAAGAGTATTTTGCTCTAAAATAAAAAAGCATTATATATATAATTTATTTTATTTTATAATTGTTTATTTCTTTTTTTTATTAACATTAATTCTTTATTTTTATTTTTTTTATTAGAATTTTAAACACATATAAATGTAAATTATATTAGCTTTAAGACTATATCTTTTGATTAATATTAGATCAGTTTTACCAGAAAAAACTTATTTTACTAAGATACTTATTACTTTATTAAAAAAGTATTTATTAATATTAAATAACTAATATTTTTTTTACCTGTTGTTAACTCTACGCTCAGTCCGTCGAACTTAGGGTAGCTATGACTTAATAACAGAGAGTAACATATGAGAAACTACTAAGTTACTGTGGAATAAGTCCTATCACAATCAACCTTAGGTTTATACTTTTAGACGAGTAAATAAC